ATGTGGTATATTTACACAATAGAGTACAAGTGGTGAAAAAACAATGACATACAATGGGATAAAACAAAACAAAACAAAAATACTGAGAGAGGTAACTCAGACCCAGGAAGAAAAAGACAGTACATACTGACTCATAAGTGGATATTAGACGTTAAGCAAAGGATAACCAGCCTATATCCCATGACCCCAGAGAAGATAGGTAACAAGTTAACAAGTAGAACCCTAAGAAACATACATGGATCCCCATGGGAAGAGGAAATAGACAAAATCTTTCGAATAAACTGGGAGCGGGGGGGGGGGGGGCAGAAGTGGAGAATGAGGGGATAAGGAAAAGTGGGAGGAAAACACAAGGGAACTGGATGGTCCAGATGTGTGTTTTAAATAGGGATTATTTCATTTCTTCATCTTCAACAAATTACATAGATAATAACACAACAAAATAACTAATAAGAACACAATACAATAATTATACTACTCTGAAATCTATTTTTACAATCATGAACAAAAAATAATTTTACTCAAGAACTTTTAAGAGATATATAATCAGTGCAATTTGTTATATTTTTGGTAGAATACAATTGGTAATTGTTTAGTAACAACAAATATACAATATATTCCTTGTAGCAAATGCTCTGGGTAAAGCTCAAGCTTTATGTAAGATTATCATATATAACTTAGGGTTGACAAACTGAACTGGCAGTAAAAACACAGGCATTAAACAAGTGCAATAATGAAATCAGTTGCCTCTGAAATGTATGGAAATTAAATTTTTATGCTCCTCGTCACAAAGGGATTAATTCTAAGCTGGCAAAATTAGTAAGGTTCTACAGAATATTTATTCAATTATTGGAATTTCCTCATACCTAGAACTGTTAGTTGGTTAACCCACTGAAAGAAGCTAATTGAGAACAGTAAAAAATTTACTTTGACCATCTCTTTTATAAATGAATACAATAATTTTATTTTAAAAATGAACAAAAAAACTATTAGCAAGACATGCCCTTTGAAAAACACTCTAAAACTGGATTTGATGACACATTCATTTTAATACTAGCACTCAGGAGGTAGAAACAGTGAGGTCTCTGTGATTTTACCTACAGTTGGGTCTACATAGTGAATGCCAGGCCAGCCAGAGAATACTGTAAGCTTTTTATATAATATCCTTGAATATAATAACTAGTTATTTATGTTTGTATTCCCCAAGAAACTTAATGTACCAAGACAGAATTTTCCTTTCTAGATATAACTGAAGGGCAATTTATATTCAATAATTATTGAGAGCATCAGCAGTTAATTTGTTACTTACTCTGGAAACCAAAGTGCTTTGGGGTTTACATTCTCTCAAAGAATACTTTCAAAGAATATTATACAGAGTGACACTGCTGGTTAATACAGAGTCTATGACTGAGCATTTCTTGCTCTCATTGTACTTAGGCTAACCAATGCTATTAGTGGGTATTGAGGACAAGAACATGAAATATTAAAGGGGAAATTTGTAGGCTCTTGTTAAAGAAAATACTTCTTCCGATTAAACATGTTTCTAGAAAGGAACAGGATTTAAGCCAAAGCCTGAAAAATGAGAAGTGGATAGATGTGTTGCCACAGTTCTATTTGGTTGAGATGTCCCTCTACTAAGAACAGAACTGACTAACAGTACTAAGCTATCAGCTCTCTCCAGGAACTAACTTCAGCTAAAAAAAAAAAAAAAAAAAAAAAAACCTGCTTTAGGTTTCTCTTTTTTCCCTTTGGCCTGCTGCTGGCATTCAGTGATGGGGGAAAGCAGAGATAGGAAAATTGAACCTTTTTTTCCTCCAAAAAGAGACCTTTCTAAAGGGGCAATCGAGTTTAAGAGTTTAGCTGAAGCTCTGAATCTCTGTTTAGTTTTATCTTCAGTCAAATCATGCATTCAATTTGCCTTCATTAAAGTGCATCAATTTATTGAAAACATTTCCTGTAACAACTTGTACTAGTTAACATCTCCAGCTCTTTCTTGTATTCTACATTTACTTATTATCAATATGTCATCCATCCTGACTTTCTTAGTCCCTTATTTGTGCCTGATTTCTCACCGCCATTTGTTCTTGTGTTTTTTCTTCTGCCTGCAATGTTCTTCCCCTTCAGTTTATGTTTTTACATCTCTGTTAACCTTCAAATAGCTCTTCAGTAAAGAACTGTCTTGGAAATTTATGACTAAGCCAATTTGCCTCATGATATATTCAGAGCATCATTTACATGTCATCATACTGAGCACAGTGTTTCACACCTTTCAGTTGTACATAACTAGTACAGTGCCTAAAGAAATAAGTAAAAAAATAAAATAATTAATCACTAAAGGAACCTGACTTAATTTAGTCCATATTAATTGAATCAATAAAATAAAATACATTACTAAAATGTGTTTGTATATACTGTGTGCTATATTAGCCATTATTTTCAAGCAGTTATATGACTTGAGTTCCTTCCTGTCATATATATGACATGAATTAACCCAAAATATGTTTGGAATATACAAAACTTTGTAGGATAGCTACTAAAATTTGAGGTATTATTTTCATCCTGTTTTATTTTTTAATGATTTACAATAAACTTGTAGTAATCTCATTTTATGTTTTTATTTGCAAGTTCCTTACAATAAAATTTTGGTTAAAAAGGTAAAATTGAATACACTAATAACTAAAAACTCCTGAAATAAGTTTGTGATTTTTTTTAATTCAAGAAATATGAGAGTCATTTTAGCAAGCTTGTTCTTAGATTAATTGGCCAGAATTATTCAAACTTAATTGTCTCTCTTAGGGAAATGTTAAAGCACTTTATAGCTACAAAAGTACCTCCCAGAAAATTATATTCTGCCAGTGGGAATGCTTAATATTTTTCTATTATTCTGAAAGTAGATGTTTTCAAAGTTGGTCACATGCATATTTTGCTAAGGTTTTCAATACACAGAAAACTTTTATCCATATACAGCCAGGTCTCTATTACGAATGACAGCTAACATTTCCAATTTTTCACAAGGTTCTAAATTATGAAAATTACCAAGTCAGTAAATCTCTATAGTAGAAAAAACTGAATGTTAAGTGTAAATCGGTTATAAACCATATAGATATGTGAGAAATATATGTATATTTTATGCTGCAGAATATTATTTTAAAGTGTGTTGCATTTTTCCTACTGAAAAAGCAGTTAACAATTCAAAGATATGTTTGATTAAATAAAATTAACCTGCTAGCAGGATGCTGAGTCAGCAAGTAGCTGACAAGAAGGAGAAACCACACAGCCTAACAAGGGGTTTTTAACGGGGTGGGGGGGAGATAAGGTCACTGGGTTGTTTGGAGGATGGCTGAAAAAGGAAAAAGTTAGCTACTTGTTGTTCACCCCTTCAGAGCCAGCAGAATTACACCTCAAATCTTGAATTGTGAGTTCTTTAGATTTAGATAGATTCCTTTAGTAGCTTTGAGGAACAGAATCTGCCGGGCATGGCGCCCCCGTGTCTGTGCTCTGTGCTCTAGAACTCAGATCGCGAGCTTCAGGCCAGGGGCTAGAGGTTGAGAATTCACACGCAGAGACAGACCGACACACGCAGAGCTTTTAACACTGAAACAAAAAGCCCCCCTTTATGGGGTCCTGGGGTAGGTTGATCCCAAATGAATGGAAATAGAAAACACTATTCTGAGTGAGAACCTTCATCTGGTGATGGATGGAGATGGAGACAGAGACCCACATTGGAGCAATGGACTGAGCTCCCAAGGTCCAAATGAGGAACAGAAGGAGAGAGAATATGAGCAAGGAAGTCAAGACCGCAAGGGGGGCACCCACACACTGAGAGGGTGGGGCTGATCTATTAGGAGATCACCAAGGCCAGCTGGTCTGGGACTAAATAAGCATGGGATAAAACCGGACTCTCTGAACATGGTGGACAATGAGGGCTGATGAGACGCCAAGGACAATGGCACTGGGTTTTGATCCTACTGCTTTGTGGGAACCTAGCCTGTTTGGATGCTCACCTTCCTAGACCTGGATGGAGGGGGGAGGACCTTGGACTGCCCACAGGGCAGGGAACCCTGACTGCTCTTTGGACTGGAGAGGGAGGGGGGAGGGGAGTGGGGCTCTGGGAGTGGGGGGAGGTGGAGGGAAAAGGGAGGCGGGGAGGAGGCAAAAATTTTTAATTAAAAAAGATTAATAAAAAATAAAATAAAATGAATTAATTAATTAAAAAAGCCCCCCTTTATTAGCACCATGTAGGCTTAAATACACTGCAGTCAATGGCCAACAGGTGAAAATCCCATCCTCTGATCCTCTAAGCTAGGCACAGCTTCTAGTAACTTTAATTAGAAGGTTCTAGGAGGGAAGAGCAGCTGAAGACCTAGGACTCATTAATCCCAACATCCAGCTGAAGGCCAGGACTTAATTGTTCCAACATCTCTCCCCTAATTTTTTTATAAAAAAGAAGACCCTCCTGTCTTAGGTCCAACAGGCTTGAACCTGAATGTACTTTAGAGCCAAAGCTCAAAAGGGTGGAGAGTGCAACCTACTGGTAATAAGGTATACTACATACTGGGATATAAAAAAGACATGGTGAAAAATGTACCTTTTACTAAAGCTTATGCAAGTCTCTTGGTCCATAAAAACTAAGTTAAGATTTGTGTCTTCTAGCTTAACCTGAACACCAGCCACATATCTATTTTTTGACCATTTAATCAAAACCAATCAAAAACCAACCAAAAGGGTGTGTGTGTGTGAGAGAGAGACAGCTGAAAACTGTGATTTCCAACAGTTTGTACATTTTGATGTTTTCCGTTTTCCTGTGGCTTCTGCGATTCAGATCAGCACTTGCAGGTAATGGGGTTTTGAATAGATCACCTGGTATGAAAAGTTTTCCCAAGAAACCACAAAAGATTGTTCATTTTATCCTTGCTTTTCTTTCCTTTTTTTTCCCTTTTGTTTTGTTTTTTCAACTTTTTGCCGCATTCAAGTCAGGTTAAGTCCTAGCAAAAAGATGGTAGTTAGGACACCACTGTTGCTGTGGACAATGTGACACTGGTAGAATTTGTGCTGGCGTTCGTGTAACTTCCCTCGCTGTTTGTGATTGACTGGTTGATGGGCACTTGGCTTGAGTTGGCTCTGAGGATCGCTCCTTCTGCGCTGTAGTGTGGTCTCGGCCCTGGTTCTGGTGTGTAGGTAAAGGTAAGGCTAGTAGAATAAATGATTCCATCAATACGGACCAAAGTTACTGGAACCTGGACTGGCTGACGGATCCATCTCCAACCTTCTCGGAATGCAGAAATGTCTGGGACCACACAGAGCATGTTCTCTCCGCATCTGTACATTGTTTCGGCTTCTACATCCCCAAACCATACTTGTAAATTTGGAGTAAAATTCTCTCCTGTAAGTTCAAGAATTGCTAAGTCCCCGCTGCCATTCAACTGAAGATTTTCTATGACAGGCACAGGAGTGACTGGGGCAAGGACAGGGCCCATGCCCTCATAGAATGTATACTCTGCCTTATCTGTGCTAATAATTTTCCAGCAAGCTCCATCATTTATCATTTCTTTATTTGGTTCTTTCAGACATGGTGTGGCCTGAAATTGGATTATTCTTTCTTGAGAAAGGCACAAGTACATTTTTTCAGTATCCTTAAGGTAAAATGCACATTTGTGGAGTTGTGATACAGGACCATGTGCATCCAGTAATGCTGTCTGCTTATCAACTTTTCTAATTATCAATCTTGGGAGTGCCATGCCAGTCACTGAGCACACAAGTTTGACAGTCTGGCCATAGTGGATGTAACCATCTCGGACTGTGAACTCCTCTCCTTCTGACTCATCGTCATCCAAGAGATGAATATGAAATGCTCCCCACTGTTGTGAACTAGCATGGAATTTTTCTCCTTCTACATGCAGGTATCTGGTACTTACTGTCTGGGATCTAAGCCGATTAAACAAAGCCACCATTGTTCCTGAGGCAATGCACAAGTCAGCATTTTTCAGTGACTGCTTCTTTTTGGAAGGTTTGGAAATGACTTTTATCCACTTGCTGACGAACACACCAATATCATCACTGTTGCCATAGAACATTTTTACAGACAACCTGAAATGTTTTCTCTTGTCTGAATCAGGTATGTACAATGTTTTAGCTGTGGAGTAGTTCTTCCCTTCCAAGTTTAGCCACTGCATTTCTTGACCAGTATGTCTTATTCCAATATAGGCACAGGGTTGTGACTCTTGTTCTGAACAACCATCTCTTTCCATTTGTTCTTTTTTTTTCTTCCAACCACTGCCCATAAGATACACACACGGAGGAGGGCAAAAAAATCGTTTTTCCTTTCCATAGGACTTCTGCGCAACTTTTGCATGAAGGATGAGTACTGTTTGATCCCCTCGTTCTTTTAAATAATTTCGCATAGCTTCTCTAGTGAGTCGCTTAGGTGGAGGCCGCTCCCAAAACCTCCCCAGCGATGGAGCATGCGCAGGCCGCTCCTCCGCGGGTGAGCCCTCCATGTAGTCCATTGACTGTAGAAGCAGGACCTAGTGGCATCTGACCCTTGAGGGCAGCTATTTGTACTCTCTCTCGAATTCTCTTGCTGACAGAACGTTCGAGGGATTTGTTGGCCACGTGTGCACATTCTGAGAACAAGCTACTGAACTGTCTGCCAATAATGGAAAGAATCTACATTGTAGAAGAGAGTGTTGGCCAATATATTTCAAGCATCAGTCTCCAGGGAAAATCTCTTGTCTCTGGTCTTTTGATAGGACAGTGTTCTTCACAAAAGGATTATGTGATTCCTGCCACTAGAACACCACCAAAAGAGGAACACAATGAGAACCTCAAGCATCCCAATGGTAAGTTGGATACCTTGGATGAAGAATGGGCCACAGAACATGTCAGCCAGGTATCCAGAATGCTCCCTGGAGGACTTCTGGTTCTTGGAATAATTATTATTACAACTTTAGAATTAGCAGATGATTTTCAAAATGCCCTGCGCAGACTAATATTTTCTGTGGAAAAATCTATGAATAGAAAAAGACTATGGAATATCACAGAGGAAGAGGTCTCAGAACAAGAAATACTTCACATATGTTCTTATACAAAAAAAAAATTATCTTGTCGAACTTATGATGTCCATGATCCAAAGAGTTCAGCAAGACCTGCAGATTGGAAGTATCAAAATCGAGTATCTACCTCCTGGCTGTATCTAGAGTGTACTGTTCACATTAATATCCACATCCCACTGTCGGCTACTTCTGTCAGTTATTCTCTGGAAAAAAGATACAAAGAGTGGACTTGTACGCTGGGCCAAGCAAATAGAAAATGGTGTTTATTTGATTAATGGATAAGTTAAAAATGAAGATTGTGACCTATTATTAGGACAGAAAAAATCTAGAGGAAATACTCAAGCAACTGCTGATTCTTTTGATGTTCGAGTGCTAACACAGTTGCCCCTGAGTTCAGACTACACATCCACAGCCACAGTCCAGATCTGTAGTGGTTCTGTAAACCTTCGGGTGGGGGGGGATGTGAAATGTCGAGCTTTCATCCACAGCAACAAACCCAAGGTTAAAGATGTCATGCAGGCAGTGAAGAGAGATATTTTGAACACAGTCGCTGATGGCTATGAAATACTTTTTGAGGACCTGCTTTTGAATGAAATTCCAGGAAAACAAATATGAACTTCCTCACCGAATTTTCATTCCCCTTCCTGGATCTGCTGTAAGGTTATGCGATTATAAATTTGGTGATGAATCGGCTGAAGAAATCAGAGACCATTTTTCAGAGATGTTAGATCATGAGATTCAAGTAGAAGACTTGGAAACTGCAGAGGAAATAAACACAGCTTCTAGTAACGTCACTTAGAAGGTTCTAGCAGGCTAGAGCAGCTGAAAGCCAGGACTCAAGTAATCCCAACATCCAGGTGAAGGCCAGGACTTAATTGGTCCCAACAAGAATCCTCTCAGGCTGTAGCCCTTGCAGCTGAAGACATTAATTAAAGGGAAGTGACTGCAAACAATAAATAATGATTGCCAACAGTTTTCTTCCTTTAGAAATTTTTGAAAATTACAGATTAAGTTAGCCAATTTAGTATATAATTTCTTTTGCATCTTACCTCATCTAAAGACAGACATGGCTTTCTCATCAGTTGAGAGTTCTTAAATCTAGAGAATATCCTAACAACAATTGAGGAAATAACTGTGAATGAAAATCACATTTGTGAAAACTAAAGCAAGACTTATTACAAAAGAGTATTGGAACTAAGAATTATTTATTGTAAAAATTCACTTTGGAGTAAATGAGTGACAGCTTTCTAAAAATATTTTGCATCATATCAAGCCAATAAAATGAGGTAAATAATAAACTACAGAGGCTCATTTATTTCTCCTGTTAGGCACTTATTTTTAAAACCCATCCCATTTCATCTGTTCCCAGTTCATAGGCACAAAATGGCTTCTAATAATTATTACAACCTGCAATTGTTCAACTAGCATATATCAAATAATGAAAGGATGCACCTTCACAATTTTTCTTTCAGTTTAGAGATCATATTCTCTTAATCCTTAGTTGTCTTTCATTTAAACTTCTTATTGTTTGAATAAAATATAATGAGAATATTAGTGATAAGACTGTAGATACAAACAATCCACAAACCATGTAGATTTCATACTATCACTGGTTGTGCCAGATTTTATTGTCCAAACATATCAGTTTCACCCAAATGTTCTTGCATTCATTGAGGTTGACATTGAATCAGGGTGATCAAGTAATCTAAGCCATTGAGAGGTATAGACAATGTCATATACTCTTTGAGTTCAGACAAGCAGTGACGTAAGATAAAGAGAGTTAGGTAAATAGATTCTCTATGACTTCTAAAATTGAGTAAAAGCATGAAGTTCAATTCTGATAAACTCAGAGAACCTCAGTTAAACGTGTAAGAATTCTGACTTTCGAAAGGTTAACATATTTGAGGCATTCTGAATCATATCACATGGAGAAGCTACATCAGATGATTTTTTTTTTTTGGATACTGACCTCAATTGGTAGTCAAACCCAGACATCAATAGGCATGCAAGTAAACAATTACACAAAACACTCCCACCCAAAACATCAAGTCACTCTCAATCATTATATTTTCCTACATGAATGTCAAGACACTGGTTATTAGTAACATGCTTTCTACTAAAATTTATGACAAATTCAGTGTAGCAAAATAGAATTTTAAACCAAAACTATGGAGTAGCATGCAGCAATACGAACAAAACAAACATCTAAAATTCACAGCACTTGATATTCTTGGAATTCATCTAAAGAAACTAGTATAGTTCCTCAGCTAAATAAATATTGACTACCCATTATGAATCATATCACTTGACGCATAAAGTAAACAAGTAGCACCATGACTATATTTGGATTTTTTTTATTTATTTATTAAAGATTTCTGTCTCTTCCCCGCCACCGCCTCCCATTTCCCTCCCCCCCCCAATCAAGTCCCCCTCCCTCATCAGCCTAAAGAGCAATCAGGGTTCCCTGCCCTGTGGGAAGTCCAAGGACCACCCACCTCCAGCTTGCCTGGGTCTGAAAAAGCCTGGGATAAAACCGGACTCCCTGAACAAAGCAGACAATGAGGACTACTGAGAACTCAAGATCAATTGCAATGTTTTTTTTTTACATTACATTTTTTTTATTGAGAAAAGGAGAAAAAAAAAACAAGTTTCCACCTCCTCCCAGCCTCCCATTTCCCTCCCCCTCCTCCCCCCTACGCCCCCTCCTCCCACCTTTCTCCCCCTCCCCCCACTCCTTTCCCCCTCCCTCTCCAGTCCAAAGAGCAGTCAGGGTTTTCTGCCCTGTGGTAAGACCTAGGACCTCCCACCTCCGTCCATATCTAGGAAGGTGAACATCCAAACTGGCTGGGCTCCCACAAAGCCATCACATTACGTAGGATCAAACCCCCGTGCCATTGTCCTTTGCATCTCATCAGCCCTCATTGTTCGCCATGTTCAGAGAATCCAGTTTTATCCCATGCTTTTTCAGTCACAGTCCAGCTGGTCTTGGTGAGCTCTCAATAGATCAGCTCCACTGTCTCAGTGGGTGGGTGCATCCCTCGTGGTCCCGACTTCTTTGCTCATGTTCTCCCTCCTTCTGCTCCTCATTGGGACTTTGGGAGCTCAGTCCAGTGCTCCAGTGTGGGTCTCTGTCTCTATCACCATCCATCACCAGATGAAGGTTCTATGATGATATGCAAGATATTCGTCAGTATTGCTCTAGGATAGGGTCACTTCAGGTTCCCTATTCTCAACTGCCCAAGGAACTAACTGGGGACCTCACCTTGGGCACCTGGGAGCCCCTCTAGGGTCAGGAACCTTAAAGTGGTTCCCTTAACTAAGAATTGTGGTTCCATGCTCCCCTGTCCAACCTTCCTTTATCCCAATCCTCCTGCTTTCCCAAGGCCCGACCTCCTTCCCTTCTAACTTTTCTCTCCCCATCTCCCCTTACCCCCAACCCACCCCACCCCAAGATCCCAATTTTCTCCCCGGCAATTTTGTCTACTTCCCTTAGCCAAGAGGATGACTATGTTTTTCCTTGGGTTCCCCTTCTTACTTAGCTTCTTTAGATTCACCTATTGTAGACTCCGTGACCCTTATTTATGGCTAGAAACCAATTATGAGTGAGTACATCCCATGTTCATCTTTTTGGGTCTGGGATACCTCACTTAGGATAGTGTTTTCTATTTCCATCCATTTGCATGCAAAATTCGAGAAGTCATTGTTTTTTACTGCTGAGTAGTACTCTAATGTGTAGATATTCCATACTTTGACTTTTAATAGCATTGCTCCCGCCCCAGAAAGCAAGATAGACAGCAAGCTATGCAAAGCTGCTGGAGGTGAATGGCACAAACAACCAGGAGATTGCCCTTGTTCCCGCCCATCCCCCAAGTCTGTGAGGTGGCTTTATGCCCAGGAACATTGGGCCCGCCCAGCCCCCATTCCCAAACCCTCAGTGTACAACAAAGCTTTAGAAGCAAAGTTTAGAAGTTGAGTGAAGCGGCAGCAAGAGCAAAAGCAGTCCAACCTTCCAACACAAACTACCAGACGTCATTTCCTATTTTGATTCTACTGCACGTACTGGCTTTGTGGGAGCCTAGGCAGTTTGGATGCTCACCTTATATTTGGATTTTTATCACTAATATTAAAAGAAAGTTTCTTCTTACCTCTATTATTGACTAAAATACTGTTTTATTCTCAAAATTTAAAATTGTATACATTTTTTTTCTAACTAGGACATTTGTCTTGCGATTATTTTTTTGACTGTAAATATATAAATCATTTGTAATTATTTTCAAATGATAATTTCAAACAGAAACCAGTGCTAGATGTCCTAAGATCATAAAAGACTGTGATTAAATTGTAAGTATACGTCTTGAATAAACCAGAAAAACAGGTAGGCTAACCATGGAAATCTCCTGTGCCTCTGTTCCCCTAGGCAAATCCTACAGTTTTGTCCTGTCCCTAGCCCTGTA